TATCACCATCTGTTAATATGTTCTTTTTTCTATTAAGGCATTTTATTTTTAAGTATGTATTGCATCTCTAGCAAAAGAATCCCAGACTTATCCCAAACCTGGTGTTTGCCTCTCTTTTCAGCCTTTTTTTAAAATTTTTTAATTTTTTTGAGCCATAGTCTCACTTTGTTGCCCTCAGTGGAGTGCTATGACATCATAGCTCACAGCAACCTCAAACTCTTGGGCTCAAGTAATCTTCCTGCCTCAGCCTCCAGGTAGCTGGGACTACAAGCACCTGCCACACCTGGCTATTTTTAGATTTGGGGGTCTCACTCTTGCTCAGGCTGGTCTGGAACTTGTGAGCTCAGGCAATCTACCCACCTCAGCCTTCCAGAGTGCTAGGATTACAGGCGTGAGCCACTGTGCCTGGCCTGTTATTGATGTTCTTAAGAACATCAGCCAGGACACTCATGCTCAACATTAGGGCAGCATGGAAAGATGGCAGAAGGACAATCTGATCTTTTTTCTTTTTGGGGACAGGGTCTTACTCTGTTGCCCAGGCTGAAATGCAATGGCATCATCATAGATCACTGCAGCCTCAAACTCCTGGCTCACATGATCCTCCCACCTCCTCCTGTCCAGTAGGTGGGACTACAGGTGCATGCCACTAGACCTGGCTAATTAAAAAAAAAATTGTAGAGATGGAATCTTGCACCGTTGCCCAGGTTAGTCTCAAACTCCTGGGCTCAACAAGCAATCCTCCTGCCTCCACTTACCAGGTAGCTGGGGTCTCTTGATTATTGCTGTATTCCTGTGTCTGGTACATAGTCGGTGCTCTAGAAATGCTTTTTGATGGACTGCAGTGAGTGTTCAGGCCAAGTCCCTGAAGCTTCAGAATCTGGTTTTGCTTGTGACAGTAGTGAGATTCCCTGGCATTTGTTGGACAAGAACCAGGGACCTTGGCATCTTGAGCTTGGGCCCTGGGACAGTCCCTGGGAAGGTCCCTGCCCCAGAAGGGCTGACATGGCAGCCACACCGCCTCCTGCAGGAAGGAAGGCCCAGGTTTATTTTGGTCCATGGCCTGTTCCCCTGAGACTGCAGTCATCTCCCCATCTGGCTGCCTGGATGGGAGTTTCTGGCAGAACAATGGGGCAGAGGGAGGAAGGCATAGTCTGCGCAGCTGGCTGCCTGCCCCAGGTGTTGGTGGGTATAGGGACTGTCCTGATGGTCTAGGAGTGTGGAGGCTGGGGGGAGGCCACAACTGCCTGTTCCCTACCCCTTTCCCTGCTGATCTTGCATGAGCGGGGGTAGCTCCTGGGAGCCTACTCCCTTCCTAAACAACTCATCTAGCCTCAGGAGTTGGAGGTGGGAAAGATCTGGGCTCCAGGGTCATTGGGGTGCAAGGGCCTGGGCCTCTTCCCTAAGAGGCAGAGAAAGGCCTTTCCTTCTCTCTGTGACTCAGTTTGCTCATCTGATAACTGCGGAAGCTGGACCCCAGGGCTTGAGATTCCCCTCTGTGTTCCAATGTTTACAGACATTATTTCTCTCATGAATTTGACACACGCATATGAGGGACCTGGGGACACAGTGTGAACAGGGTAGATTCAGCCCCTGCATGCACATGAGAGAAGGAGGATGAACACAGAAACCAAGGTGCTTAGGGTCACCAGGGAGGATATCCAGGGCACCATGGGAGCAAGGAGACACTGGGTCCAGCCTGGAGCATCGAGGAAGGCTTCCAGAAGGAGGTAATGGTGATGCTGAAAAATGAGGGATAGGCAGGAATTTGCCAGATGAGTAATGAGTGGGGTCTAGGTAAGAGGGAATGGAATAGATCATTCTAGAGAAACTGGGGTGAGGGCATTGGGGGATGCTTGGCAGCTGGCTTAAACTTGCAGCATCCCTTTCTGTGTGTTCAGAGCACCAAAGAAGGCACTTGAATGGTGGGATTCCAGGAAGTGGGTCCAACCTCTTGCCCAGGAGAAGCTTGCTGCTTGGGGGACACTGAGGTTGTCCCAGGACAAAGTTACTTCCAATCTTCTGCATTTTACAGTTGGGGAAACTGAGGCATGTGGCAGTTATGTTGCTTGCCTGAGAGGCCAGACAGAGCTGGGAGCAGGCTCTAAATATTGGGATTGGGCTCAGTGCACATAGCTCAGTGGTTAGGGAGTTGGCCACATATACCAAGGCTGGCAGGTTTGAACCCAGCCCGGGGGTGTTAAATAACAATGACAACTGCAACAACAAAAACCAAAAAATAGCCAGGCATTGTGGTGGGCACCTGTAGTCCCAGCTCCTTGGGAGGCTGAGGCAAGAGAATTGCTTAAGCCCAAGAGTTTGAGGTTGCTGAGAGCTGTGACGCCATGGCACTCTACTGAAGGTGACATAGTGAGACTCTGTCTCAAAATAAATAAAATAAAAAAATAAATATTGGGGTTGTTTTTTTCATAGGGGACACTGGGAATGGGCAATCAGTGTATTGCGGTGTTACTCAGTCGCTCTGTTCCTTTGCGTTCTTGTATGCAAAATGGGCAGCCAGCCCAACACATGGCAGAAATGACAAAATGGGGCACAAGGTACTGGTTCAGGGCCTGCCACACGGAGCTGAGTCAACAGCACCCCTGCTCTGGCCTAGGCAGAGGCCTGGTCTTGTGACCAGGGTCGGAGGCAGGGAAGGCCCCTCCAGTAATTCCAGTGCCTGCCCTGAACTCTGACAGAAGGCGAGGGGGCAGCTGAGTGCTGGGACTTCTGGGTCTGAGCTCACACAAAGACAGGCTTTGTGGGGGCTTCTGGGGCTGAGTGGGCACCCACACGACATTCCTGGCCTGGCTAGGGTGGGCGTGGGTGCTGATCAAGACCTGGGGCCACAGGCGAGAGACAGGGTGGGTCCCAGGTCAACCCCCCACCACCGGTTTTTTCTCACTCATATGACAGATGTACTGGAGTCTCGGATAAGGAGCCAGATTGATTCTTTCTCTTGTGGCCTGGGGTGAGGCAGACCAGTGGGGACGCAAAGCTGGGGGAGCAAAGCAACAATGGGGGATGCCTATGGCACTATGTGGCTCAGAGGAAGTGCCTTGTTGACTGGCTTGCAAGTTCACAGATTGCTTCCTGTAGGAAGTGATGTCCAGGCTAAGCTAAGGGTTATGAATATATAAGGAGAGGAGGCAGGAATTTGGGGATCAGGGTATTAAGGGGTATATGGGAGTTCACCAGGCAAGGCCTTGGGGGTCAGGGTGCTGAGAGTCCAGTATGGAACCATTCATGGCCTAAGTGAGGTGTGGGCTTGGTCCTGGAGGCCACAGGAGCTGTTTCTGAGCAGGGAAGGGCTAAGCCAAGCTCTACAATTTAGGAAGAATTCTGGAATTTCTGGAAGGAGATGGTTAGAGAGGGGGGCTCCAGAGCATGGGGAATCTAGCAGACTATGATGGCAGGAAGACAAAAGGAGAGAGCCATGATGGACAGAGGGACAGCATTCTGCAGTTAAAGGCCTGGTCACTGTCCCCTTAGAGCTGGCCTGCCTTTCACTTTGGCCATTTACCTCCCTGGCCTCTTCCTGGATGGGAGTTGTTATAAACCAGTGTTTCTGCACTCTGGGAGTCTGAGGTGGGAGGATCCCTTAAGCTCAGGAGTCTGAGACCAAACTGAGCATGAGTGAAACCCCATCTCTACTAAAAATAGAAAAACTAGGTGGGTGTTAATGGCAGGTGTTTGTAGTCCTAGCTATTTCAGAGGCTGGGACAAGAGGATCACCCAATCCCTGGAGTTTGAGGTTATTGTGAGCAAGGCTGACATTGACACTCTACCCAGGGAGATATAAATAAACGAAAACAAAATAAAATAAATTAAATTAATAAATAAAAACAAACAGAAAACCCAGTGTTTCCATGTTGGAGGGATCATCAGAGTAATGCATTTCCAGAAACCCCACAGGTGTCCTCCCACAATGCAGGCATCTGCTCCTGGGGCCCATTCAAGGTCTAAGATCTGGGGATGTTGGTTGTAAACCTTGCAGGGGCAGTGAGGCTGTGGGCACTGGTCACGGAACTGGGTGCCTCCACCCTGAACAGTGTAGAGCAGGGGGATCAGAATGCTACCCCATGGGGAGAATAAGCCAGATGTTAGAGCCCTAGCCATGATCACAGTGACCTCTTCTCAACTCACAGCAAAGATGCAGTGGATTGGGAGGCTGGTGTCAGGCCTCGCAAATAGTGGAATTCAGAAGGCCCTGCCTAGGGGTATAGCTCAATGGTAAGAGCATTTGACTGCAGAAGGCCTGGCCAGATTTCATCATTACACCTTCATTCCTTTTCTTCTTCTTTTTTTTTTTAGACAGAGTCTCACTATTGCGGCCTGGGTAGAGTGCTGCAGCATCACAGCTCACAGCAACCTCCAACTCCTGGGCTCAAGCGATTCTCCTGCCTCTGCCTCCCAAGTAGCTGGGACTACAGGCGCCTGCCACAATGCCCAGCTATTTTTTGGTTGCACCCATTCATTGTTGTTTGGTGGGCCCAGGCTGGATTTGAACCCGCCAGCTCAGGTGTATGTAGCTGGCGCCTTAGCCACTTGAGCCACAGGCACCAAGCCCCTTTTCTTCTTTTTTAAAGAAACAACTTCTCTAGCTGGGTGTCATGGTGGACACCCGTTGTCCCCCTAGGTGGGAGGCTGAGGTAAGAGGATTGCTTGAGCCCAAGAATTTGAGGTTGCTGTGAGCTATGAAGACAGGGCATATAGCCTGGGTGATAGAGCAAGACTGTCTCAGAGGAAAAAAACAAAAGAATAGAAATGAAACAAATTCTCTTTAGATCCCTTAGAGCCTGTTGGATCATTATCTCTTTGGCATGAATGTTGTTTTTTTCCAAAAAGTTTTCCTACATAGGTATCTCGCCTGTTTGGGTGCTCTGAGATACAATGTTGGTGTGTGCCAAATGTCCCAGATTGGGAAGATACTGAGTGGAAGCAATATCCTGGCTCCTGGCTGCAGGGGCCATGGACACTTACGATGGGTCTATCTCTCCCAGGCAGGGCGATGGACACCTTTAGCACCAAGAACCTGGTGCTCCAGGCCCAGAAGAAGCTCCTGAGCAAGATGGCATCCAAGGCAGTGGTGGGTGTGCTCATTGACGACACAAGCAGTGAGGTGCTGGACGAGCTTTATCGCGCCACCAAGGAGTTCACGCACAGCCGCAAGGAGGCCCAGAAGGTGCTCAAGAACTTGATCAAGGTGGCCATGAAACTGGGCCTGCTTCTGCGTGGGGGCCAGCTGGGTGTGGAGGAACTGGCGCTGCTGCGACGTTTCCACAACAGGATGCACTGCCTGGCAATGACGGCTGTCAGCTTCCACCAGGTGGACTTCACCTTTGACCGGCGTGTGCTGGCCGCTGGCCTGCAGGAGTGCAGGGACCTGCTGCACCAGGCTGTGGGCCCACACCTCACAGCCAAGTCCCACAGCCGTATCAACCATGTCTTCGGCCACTTGGCTGACTGTGATTTCCTGGCTGCACTCTACAGCCCAACTGAGCCCTACTGCTCCCACCTGTGCAGGATCTGTGACGGCCTTAACCGGATGCTCGACGAGGGCAGCATATGAGCTCTCAGACCACCTGCCTGCGGGCCCCTCCTTCTGTGGTTTGTCTACTGTGGGTGTTGTGGGGGCGTGGATTTGGTGGATTCTTAATCTTTTCTCCCAGTTGAACTCTGACCAAACAACACTGGACAGGTGACCCGTCCCCTTTGAGAAGATGCTGAACAACTGGAACCACTGTTGCCCCTCCTCCCTGCCCAGCCCAACTGGGAGAAAAATTCAGGTCTGCTGCCTCTTCAGGGCCCACCTCTTGCCCCCATTTGCATTTCATGACCCATGCTGGGCCCGGAGTCACTTGATGTAAGCCAAAGGCTGCATGTCCCACTTATGATGTTGCCTGGGTTTTGTCATTCCTTCAAATAAGGTCATGATGAACTGGAAGAAAAGGAGTGTTATAGGGTGAATTGTGGCCCCCACAATTTGATACCAACCCAACCCCTAAAACCTCAGGTGGCCTTCTTTGAAAAAAGAGTCACTGCAGATATAATTAATTCAGATGATGTCATTCTGGAGTAGGGAGGGCCCTAATCAATGACTGGGAATAAAACACAACTGTGGACAGATACACACATAGGGGCAATAGCAATGTAAAGATGGAGGCAGAGGTCAGAGTGATGCTTCCACATGCCAAAGAATGTCAGGCATGCCAGCCACCACCAAAAGCTAGGAGAGGCCAGCGACAGACCCTGTTGGCCTCAGAAGGACTCACCCTGCCCAGACTTTGATGTTGATGTTGGGACTTCTGACCTCCAGAACTGAGAGGTTCTATTGTGTAAGCCCCAAGTCCATGGGATTTTGCCCTGGAGCTCCAGTTAGAGAAACTTCTGGTAGATGCTGGTGAGTTTGGCAGGGACACCTCAATCTGTCTGGAAACATGCAGCTCTGATGATGTATGTTTAGAAAACCAACAACCAGCCAATCATGTTGTTTTTATGAGATGGGCCACAGGAAGCAAAGCTCAAGTCTTAGATTTGTTGACACCTAGAAGAGGCAGTGATTCTCAACATGGGGGTATGAACATGTGAGGTGGGGAAGTCTGTTTGTTATTCTGTCAGGAGGGAGCATGGGTTCTCAAAGGTTTCAAAATGCCACTATGGGTCAGGAAGGTTATTTCAGTTGGGAGTTAGGGAAAATGTAGTTCCATGACTGCAGAATCATTAGCTCTGCTGAGGGCAGAGGCTATGAAAGGGAGCCCGGCCTTATTTGTTGAGGAGGTCTGGTTGGCCCCATCCAGTATTTGAGACATGTGGAATTAGCTGCCAACATTTAAAGAACGAGGGAATCACACATACCAACCTGAACTTGGGGTTTCTCTTGAGAACTTGCTGGCTCTGGCCACCTGTGCTCCATAGTCCCTTTTCTTGTTTCCTGCGGGCTCTACACTAACAGATGGGAAATCATGACACCAGGCTCAGGGGAGCCTTTGCATGGTTTGGTTTCTGTTGCCCTGAAAAAGCCAAACACCTTCATCCAAGAGCCAGCTGTTCCTACCTCGGCCCCACCCTTTAAAGGCAGCCTTTGCTTATCTCAGGCCTAGAGACACCTCTACACATCTCCATGTTCAAGGATGAACCTATAAAAAAGCCCTGATAAAATCACAAGCTGTGCTGACTGAGCAGATCAATGTGCACAGTCGTGCTTGCTCCCTGCTGGCCTGTCCATCTTATCTGGACCCTTTCATAAGCTTGAAATTAAAGAAAACAAACCAAAGAGCACCATGGAACTATTTAAACATGCACTTTCCGGCTTGGGGCCTGTGGCTCAAGTGGCTAAGGCGCCAGCCACATACACCTAAGGTGGCGGGTTCGAATCCCCAGCCCGGGC